AAAGAGAGTGGAAAAGAGAATTGCATGAATGAAGGCAGAAGTGAAAACATTCATGCAAAGAAGATTGTGGAGTCCTAAAAGCTTACACATGGGAGTTGAAAACTTTTTTTTTTTTTTTTGGCCAGTGTGTATTTTTTTCTTATAAAGCTCAGTTCTTAGTTTCCAATCTTGTGAGCTTCTGGATAATTGGTATTGTCAGTGAGGAAATTAAATTATGTAGAAATTCAGTCCCTGAAGTGCAGTTTCAAGTATTTTTCCCCCGTATAGCCTAATTGTAATCTCATCTGCTGGGAGATGAATTAGGTGACCTCTTCCTGTTTAACATCTACTCTGGGAACTTTAAAAAAAAGTTAGGATTTTTGTTTTTTAAATGCCACAGGAAAATTTTGTTTCCCCATTGAGGCAAATGGAAAACTTGAAAGTGCTTAGTATGTCCTCACAGCATCTCTAGATCCACTCTCTGGTTGCTGCCATCTCAATAAAGGAATGCTTGCCCCTTTCCTCCTCATGGCTCAGGTTTGCATGTGGTAGAGCCCCACTATAAGAGGATGGCAGACAGGCCCTTGTTAGTGCTGTTTTTTTCAGTAGGTAGGGTGTGTGTGTGTTGGGGGTGGGGTATGAAAGAAGGAATCCAGGACAGAAGAGGGAAGGATTCTTACCACCTCCTTTAGGTAAACTTGCTCCCATCACAGCTGGGTCCATGTCTTTTCCAAATCATCTCATTCATCCAGGGAGGGTTGCTTACTGCCCAAGCAGATCGTAGGACCCTATCCTCAGTGGTGATGTTTCCTAAGTCCCAAGGTTAGGATTAGTGTCTGAGTCAAGCAGGTGATTCTGAGGCTCCATGTGATGTGAGAACTGGCTTTTATGCCTCACCCTAAACTTTGGAATTTTGGTTATATCAGAGGAGTCAATACCAGTAGCTAAAATGGTGAAACGTCTGTAGCCTATTGTTGCAATTTAAAAAAAAAAGTGGCATTTGAGAGAAAGACTCCATGAGGATTTTTTTTTATTGGGGTAAGTGAATGGGAAAAATGGGGAGGGGAGAGCGGGGACAGGAGTGACAGAACAGAAGGGGGGTGAGGGTGAGGGTGGAGAAGGAGAGAGGGGGAGAGGGAGAGGGAGGGAGGGAGGGAGGGCGGGCAGGGAGGAAGGAAGGAGAGAGACAGGAGGTGGGCAGGGCACCACCTGTGCCGAAAGTGCACAGGTGGTGCTCTTAGTGGCTTCAGCTGAGGGCGTATCCTGTCAGAGCCCCAAGGATAGTACATATGCCTGAATGCTAACACCTATGATCCCCATAGGTACTGGGGATCTTGGAAATGACAGCTATTGCTTTGTGAGAGCAGGTGAGCCTCGATAGTATCCACCCTGCTGTGGTTGGTTCTTGTAATATCCTATTTAAGATGTGTTAGCTTCTGTTCTCTTTATATTATTATAATTTGTAACTGATGGGAACATATGCTTTCAGATAAGGTATATAAACTGATTGATTAGTCCCCAAAGAGAGAGTTAATAAAGATATGCTGTAGATACCAAAGTGAATATTTAAAAACAAGGCCAAGGCTCTATATTCTTGTTTATATTTGTCATCTAGTATAGCATTTCCCCAGTTTCTTGAATCTTAGCCTTAATAGAATCAATTTAAGCACACTAATGGCATTTCTCTTTAACATTCTTTACTACCTCCACCACCATCCTGGCCTCGGGAGGCAAGGAATGGTCAAGGAGGTGGCATCTCAGCTGAGGTTTTGTAAGATAAGAGAGGTCTATTTAGTCAAGAGGCCGGTGGTTTCTGTGTTGGGAGCTCTTAATAGAAGAACATGTGAGCAGACATGTTCAGAAACAGCAGACCTACATACTGTGGGGCCAAAGTATAGGCCCGTGTAGCACAAGAAAGAGCAGAATAAGGGTGAAAACTCATTTATGTTGGGACTTTATTCTCTGTGTCACAGTTTCTATAGGAAACTCTGTTTAGTGTTTAAAATAATACTTACAGTGCACTTCTTAAAAAATTAAAGTGTTTAAAGTCATAGTTGAGAACCTCAAAATGTGTACATGTAGGAAATTGATATCACGTAAGGAAACTCTTTCAATGGCTGTTTCTTGACATCCTGTGTGCCTTTGAGATCTGGTCATTGGACTACTGTGAAATATAAATGGTAACCTAGTCATTCAGGGCATGGGCTGAGTACCTTCAGGGCCTTCTGCATCTTGGTGCGTTTGAGGCTTCTTGCTTTGGCAGAATTCCTTTTCTCCATCCCTCCCCATTCTTAGCTCAACACTCAGGAACTTTGAATGCCTGAAGATGTGTCATTGTGCTGTACTGTAGGAAACACCTGCCTAACTTTGAGTTCATATTCAAAACATTAGTTTGCTGTTCTCAGCAACCAATTGATATTTTGTGTTACTGTCTTTTAACACGCATACTCAAAAGCTGTATATTTACAATATCTGTCAATATATTTTACATAAATGTGAAACTTGGGCGTTTCATAGGGACCTAACATAGCAATTCCTAAGAGATATCAAAAGAAGGTTGTAACTGAACTGAAAGGACCAGTTCATCCTTATTTCTTGTTCATTTAAAAATTGCTTTATAATTATATTTTACTTCAGGCATACATGCGTTTTGCCTGAGCATGTGTGTGCACTACCTATATGTTTGGTGCTTGTAGAACCAGGAGAGGGTACTGAGTCCTCTTGAACTGGAATTATGGGCAGATGTGAGCTGCTATGTGAGTGCTGGGAATTGAAATAGGTCCTCTGCAAGAGCAGTTAATATTCTTTAACTGCTGAGCCATATCTCCAGCCCCTGCATTTTTATTTTCTTAAAAAATCCTCCAAGAGTAGATTAAAAAGCATAGTATGGGATGATGGCCCAGCAAGAGAAGACATTTGCCACCAATCCTGATGACCTGAGTTGGATCCCCAGGACACATGTGGTGGCAGGAGAAAGCCAATTTGATGGGCATATGTTTCTGTATATGTTTCTCTTATTGGTTGATGAGTAAAGCACTGTTTGGCCAATGAGGCAGGGGGATAGGCGGTACTAAGAGATGAGAATTCTGGGAGTTGTAGGCAGAGAGAAGTCGTCATGTGATCCCAGGAAGAGAGTATGCCAGTCAGAAGTTCTCTGCTAAGAGAAGAACATGTAGAAATATTTAGATTAATAGAAATGGGTTAATAATTAAGACAGGGCTAGCCAATAAGAAGCCCTAGTCATTGGCCAACAGTATTATAATTAATATAAGTCTCTGAGTGTTCATTTGGGGTTGATGAGGCTGTGGGACTAGGCTGGCAGGAAGAGTTATCGTAACAACAATTCCCTTAAGTTGTCTTCTGACTTCCACATGTATGTTATGGCACATGTGTGGATGTGTGCACACGCAAATGTAAAAATTTAAAAAGATTGATTCATTTCTGTTTTGTGTGTATTTGTGTGTGCGCCTAAGTATTGGTAAGTGCACCATATGTGTCTAGGTGTCTGGAAAGTCTGAAGAGGACATCAGATCTCCTGTAATTGGAGTTAGAGGCAGCTTTGAGCCTGTCTGTGAGTACTGAGAACCAAACTGCAAGGACATCAGTGATCTTAACCACTAAGCCACCTCTCCAGCTCCTAAAAAAGCACTTAAAAAGTAGTAAGAGTGAAAGATCAATAGAAAATTGGGCAAAGGGCACGATAGGGCAGTGTATAAAGAAACACAGGCTACTCTTAAATGTATACAAACTGCCCAGCCTCATTCATAATATGAGCTGTATACATTAAAGTACTGAAATCTGTTTTCAAAAAAAAAAAACTTTGGTAACAGTGGCTGACCAAAAGGTCTGCAATCTTGTGGCATGAAAGGAAAGCACATTACAAGTGCTGATTTCAGAGTTGCATGAGAGAACGTGCATCTTGAGTTGCACTAGTGGGAGGATGGTGGACAGCCTCAGTGAAAGCAGCATGCACATAAACTTAACACCACAGCACAGTGTTGGCTTGCATCCAGCAGGTTTCCATTTAGGTGTTTTTACATTAAAGACTGTCTCATGTAGTCCGGGCTGACCTTAAACTAGCTATCCAGCTCTAGAGCTGAGGCTGCCCTTGAACTCCCCATCCTCCTGCTTTCTTTTCCTCCTATCATCCCAAGTGCTGGGACGAGAGCCACATGCTGCCATGCTCTGTTTTCATCTGGGATTTTGTTCTGTAGAGATGGAGAATTTCATGATAGTCTAGAATATGCTCCTGGATAGAGGGGAAGAAAAACATGAATTCCTTGCAGTTTAAAATAAAACCCAACCCTGAGGAAGCAAATTAGCCACTATAAGTGTAGAAAAAGGAAGAAAATAGGTTTGCACAAAATTTTAACCCCTAAACCCAATACTGTTGAATACAAAGAGAAAGGCTGCTAGTTTGTCCTGAGTGAGAGCAAAAGACCCAGAGACAGGGCTGGAGGGAGTTACTCTGTCAGTGTATCACTGTATTTTGAAGCTATACTTACAAAAAAAAGGTTTCTAAAACAAATTATGAAGGGTTGTTGAAATATATAGTGCTGCAGGGTAACTCAGTGGTGGAGTGCCCTCATATAGTCAGTTCAAGGCCCTGGTTCAATTCTCAGTATCATTTGGCGGTGGTGGTGGTGGTGGTGGTGGTGGGGGGGGTGGGGGTGCTTTGC